CCCTCCTTCTCTTACTTTTTTATTATATTTCTTACAATTGTTGTCGTCCAGAAAAAGCCCGCCCGCGAGTTATTCGCCGTATTTAGTTCTACAGTATTAGACTTTAGTTAAACTCCTATTATAATCAGACAATTGTCATATACTTGAGTCGATTAACACTGTATTTCTATTCAGACCTTTCGCTCTCTTTGCGATCAATTTATTTACAAATTAAATATATAATAATTACACAGAATTTGAATTATAATCTAATCGTATGCTTATTGTTAATGCAAATTATAATTATTAACTGTTTTGGAAAATAAATTGTTTTGATAATTTAAAAAATATAATGAAAAGTTAATTAATAAAATAAAATTATTATAAATTATATTAATATAAGCTCAATTAAAATATTTAATACAAAATAGTAGTCATTTTATGAATGAGCAAATTCAATTATACAATATATAATACAGAACGCTGAAATAAAAATGAGAAACATTTGATCAATACATTAACCAACATGAATTCTATAGATTAGGAATTCCCTAGGTACGATTTATGTTCATTTTTCCTATGTAAACTTGCATGAGTTTACATTGAATCATAGGTTTTCAGGGAATTCCTACTATAGATTATTAATTGATGATTCGTCCATGATCATTGTGACTAAAGAGTAAAGCTGATGTTTTAATGAAAACTCAGTTTACTTTCTATTCCTAAAATATTTAGCAAATTAAGTTATATGAGTAATGAAATTGTATTTCACACAATCTATGGCCAACACAATGAGATCCATGAGATTTTTACTACTCTTTGTCTTCATATTAAGTATGTTTTCAATAATCTACAATAAATCAGATATGGATATAATGAGAGAGAAATGTGTGGCCACAATCCGCAAACGAAGTTTCATGCATTGCTTTCAAGACTTCGATAACGAAGCCAATAAACCCAAAGAGGAAAGAAATATGAAGGTATGTCAAAACAATATGATTGCTATCATTATCATGTGTCACACGCCGATAGGCCTTATGCTGTGCCGGTTTTTTCATGGAGTCGTGTGCGCTGAAGATCATTGAGAGACATTGCGGCCAAACCATCAAAAACAATGCCAAACAATTCATCGACAAATACAGATTGCCTTCGAAGGAATGTATTGATTACGGAACCATCACTTGTATGATAACCACAAACGTGATCATTGGTGTGGCCGTCGGTCTCACACTTGTCCTCCTTTTAGTCCTGTCGTTAATTTATTGGGTTATTGTGTTATTGCAAGCAATTTATTTACAAATTAAACGAATATATTACACAAAGTATTTAAATTATACTCAAATTATCTAAACGTATGCTTACTATAAATGCCAATTATAATTATTTATTTTTTTGATGAATCAATTGTTTTGATAATTTAAAAAACATAATAAAAAGTTAATTAATAAAACAAAATTTAACATGATCTGGTTATTATAAAAATTATCCTAAATTATATTGATATAAGCTCAATTAAAATATTTTTAATTAATATAAAATAATAATCATTTTTTAAATATTATTTATTAAATAAGCAAATTTAATTATACACTATGAAATATAATACAGAATGCTAAAATAAAATTAAAAAAATTTTGTCAATTGACTTACATAAATTCTATAGATTATTAATTGATGATTTGTCCATGATCATTATGACTAAATGAGTAGAGGTAATGTTTTAATGAGAGCTCACTTTACATTCTATTACATCTTTTCTATCTTACGAGTTAGCAAATGATATGAGCAGTGAATTTGTATTTCACACAATCGATGGCTAACACAATGAGATCCATGAGATTTTTACCACTCTTTGTCTTCATATTAAGCATGTATTCATTGAATGAATGCAATGTTTTATTGGACGAAGTGAAGACTTTATGGGAAGTTGGCAAATGTTTGGCCAAAATCACACCCAAACTCACTACCGCTTGTGTTAAGAGCACTGACCACCAGAATGCCGGATTCACAGAGTACACAACTCAGGAGGTATGTAACCCTACTATCACTGCTGTCATTACCATCCCTCACACCACCGACAGGATGGGTGCCGACGGTATAACTCTCTCTACTCATGTGCAGTGAATATCGCAGAGAAGGAGTGCAACGAAGTGGGAAAGAAGTGGCCAAACAATTTATAGATGGTCTCAAATTGAGCATAAATGTTGACCAATGTATTGGTAACAATGATATGGATGGCATTATAAATATGGCGAAAAGTAATGTGCTAACAGTGCTGGTCATTCTCTCAATCGTCTTTCTCTCACTTTTTTATTATATATCTCACTATTGTTGTCGTCCAGACAAACCCCGTTCGCGAGTTATTCGCCGTATTTAGTTCTACAGTATTATAATTAAATTAAACTCCTATTATAATTATACAATTGTCATATACTGTAGTCGATTTACACTGTATTTTTATTCAGACCTTTCGCTCTCTTTGCGATCAATTTATTTACAAATTAAATATATAATAATTACATAGAATTTGAATTATAATCTAATCGTATGCTTATTGTTAATGCAAATTATAATTATTAACTGTTTTGGTAAATAAATTGTTTTGATAATTTAAAAAACATAATAAAAAGTTAATTAATTAATAAAATTAAAAAATTAATAAAAATTTAACAAAATCTTGTTATTATAAAAATTATTATAAATTATATCAATATAAGCTCAATTAAAATATTTAATATAAAATAGTAGTCATTTTATAACTTCAATTATACAATATGAAATACAGTGCAACTTCTCCATAGGGAACGGCCAGTTGCACTGCAAAAGTGTTCCCTATAGGGAGGGTTCCTCCAAGGGAGGTTTGACTAAAAATGTCTTATTTTGATTAATATTTGAGAATGTTTATTAATAATATCAATTATTGAAAATAATCAGTAATTCTAGTTTGTTTAGCTGTATTAAAATGACAATTAAATGCTTTAGTCTTAATTTTGTCCAATTGTTCAAACATTTTATCATCGAATGCGTCTCTGGATATAAAATAGGACATTTGAGAATAATAATTCACTAATCAAACTGTGAATTTAATGTTTATGAATGAAATTTCAAATGAAAATGTGTTATTTGTTTGTTTAAAATCTTAGGTTTGAAAATATTGTAAATACTTTGGATATCATGTGCTTATGATTATCTTTGTTCCTTATGGGGAGTGCAAATTTTATCTTAATCTCTATAAATCCGTTCCTAATGGGGAGGTATTCCTT